AAATATTAGCGTTTCGTGTTCGTTTTGACTTCGTGTGGACGGGGCCTAAGATGCTCAGACTTCCTGATCCACTCACACCTCCTCCAGCTGCTCCCCGAGGCGACACCAGGCCAGCTCAGAGACCCTACAGCGTGTCCTCCCGAGTTAGGCGACCAGGAGGCATCTGAAACACATCCCAGAGCCACCTCACCTCCTTTTGAAAGTTGCCTTGCAGCAAAATGGTCGTTGGTTGAATTCCCTGCATCGGGGTGTCTCTGCTGGCTGTTTGCATCTTCTAGCTTCCTCCCAGAATAAAAAAAAAACACCACTGTTGCACAAAAGCTAATCTCCACAGTGGGTGTGTCTGTACATGAGGCAGATTGACTCACATTGACCTTGTAAGGCTGAATGGATGTAAATCAATAGATGCACGAATATTCAGAATATATTAAGACTGATAGGATTAAGTTTTAGAATATCAACCTTTTGTGAAGGTTGGCTAAAAACTGAGTTTGTGCCAGAAAAATAATCTTTATAGCAGATCAGACAAAAAGCATGTAAGAATAAAAGGTAGGAGCAACTGGCTATGGCACATTTCTTCGCTTATTTTGATCAACAGACTTTCCAGATCACATAAGACATGATTTCTTTCCTTTTGTTAAGAGTAGAACGAAATAAACATATTTTTTTACACTGGGAAAAATCTAATTCTAAGTAAGACATTTTTTCTTAAAATAAGTGCATTTGTTCTTGGATTGAGGAGGTAAAAGATACATCTTGCCAATGGAACAAGACAATTTACACTTAAAATAAGAAAACACATTTGATTATTTCTAGGTCGTTTTTCCAGTGTATTATCAGTCGGCTTTTATCTACTGAAAAACACAAAAATGTCTGTTGAATCGACATGAAAACAAGGGAAACAAGCTCCAGTAATGGGCTCTGACTTGCACATTGGATGGTGTTAACAAAAAGAAAAAGATTTAGGTTAGAATGTATTTAATGGGGTTTATTATTAAAAGGTAGCAGAGCGTGAGACATAAAGAGATCCGAGCACAAAAGATCTGAGGGAATAATACCTGAAAAATTTAAAATAGGAACCAGTTTCAGTTCCAATTTATTACAGCAGAGCTTCCTCCACCCGAGCGGGAAAGCTTGGATGAGGTAGTGCTGCAGGGCCAGGGTGAGCGGGAGTAGGCAAGGAAGAGGAGTAAAGTGAATTGGCTGGTACCAGCACAGGAGGAGGAGGAGGAGGAGGCCCCCCCCTTTCATCTATCTCATTAAAGCCTGAGCAGTGGGGGCCGTCATGAAGGAGCCCAGGGACATGGTGATCAGGGACTGAGCCTGAGCCTCACATCAGGATGTAGAGAAAGGAGGAGGGAAGGAGGGGAGCGCAGCTGAAGCAAGGAGACGGGCCTCCATGTCAAACCTTCACCTTAAACTTAACTTGCCTCCCTCTGGGCCCAGATAAAGACCTCTTATCTGTGCACACCTTCCCTCCCAGCCTGAGAAGGACTCCAGCCGCTGCCGGGGAGGCTAAAGGGGGCTTCTCCGGTTGAGTGAGCCTGGACCATTCTATCAGAGAGAGTAGATATGAAAGAGTAAAGCAGATGTTGAAAGCCTCCATGTGGGACGGCGCGATTAAGAGGAGGGAAATATTGGGTGGGCTGGGTTCTGAAAATAAAAAGCTGATCCAGCAACGGACATCGGAAACCTTTTAGATGACTCAGAGTCTTATTTACTTTTTCTTTTCTGTTCAGTTTTCCCACATTGAAGTTTTTGTTCCAGATTTCTGACCTATTTATTTGTATTTTCAATCTCCCAAAGAGTCTTTGTTCAGAGGTTTACCTCCTTCTTGCATCATCTTTTTTAACAGATACTCGTCGTTTTGGGGATCAGACAACC